GTGTTTACACTTAAACACTCAGAAATAATAGACATAACTTATATACATAAAGTTGCCTCGTATTGTAGGCGATGTTAGTAAATCAGAAAACTGTTGCAGTGTTTTGGACTAAGACCACCCCTTAGTCTAGAAGTTTTCAGTGCTTGTCTGCTACTGCAGGCGGGCAACGACAAGAAGACCCGTAATCACCGGGAAGCAGTCCCATAACCTTCCCATTGTTGATCCCAACTGAGCTCAGAGGGCCATCCGTTCCCAATCATCTTCCTGATTGTTGACCAAACATCTTCAACAACGCGTCAATCCCACTCATTTACGAATTTTTTCGGTTGCGGTTGCGTCTGGCCTTATGAGAGCCGATTCTGAAGCCGATAGGGCGAAGCAGGGCTCTTCCATTTCACAGATGATTTTGGGGAGATAACAAGAAGAAATTGAAGAACTGGGTTCCTCTTTGCCGTATTCTATTGACATCATATGGAAAAAAGATGAAATAGGCTCTTTCCTTTGACATTGAGATCTTTATCAGTTCTTATTATTTCATGCGTTATCTATTTTGTAGCGGCAGAGACGGAACTGAGAATGTTGAAGATTGTATCCTGTCGAAGTCGCTCTTAAGCCGCCTTTTTGTTGCCGCAGTTACACATATCCTCGTCTGCACGTCGTAGCACCTTATTAATAGCTTATCGCCGAATTCTTACCTTGAGTAGTTTTTTTTTCTTCAAAGACCATCATACAGCACATCGTGTGTGCATTTATAGAATCATTCAAGCCATGCGACAGTGGCTAGTCCACAACGCTATTCAGGAAAGAATACTCCAAATGCTCATTGAAAATTCTTGTTAAAGTTGTGTGCAACTATGCACAGTTCACGAGCCATTGATGTGTAAAACGAACTCACAGATTAGCGCCTTTGATCCTGTACTTCACGGAATACTGTACAGAGCAATGTCTCTCTTCGAACTTGTTTATAAGCTTTCGGCTTGTATTACCTAGTAATCAAGGAGATTCCCTTTGTCAGCTGTCAGCTATACTAATCGGACTGTTCAGCCTTTGTTTAGCATCCAGTTTTTGCTATCCAGAAAGATGGAAACATCTTGTCTCTTCTCACACTGCGTATTTATTGACAGTTTGTCCTGTTTTTACAGGGAACTCATACGGAATCAATCTCAAAGGGAAACAGAAATGCTGAAAAGTAGTGGATCTCAGGCATAGTGGATCTCTGGCAGAGTTATAACACTTCCTTGTCAGTTTATCTTTGTTTGGACACATCTGTCTCTCAGTCTTCTAGATGAGTGAGGCTCTCATTTGGAAAACTCAGTGAATCAGAGAGCTCTAAACTTCTCTGTTTCCTGGTCTCGCAACCGCTGGAACCGCTTTTGTTCTAAAATATGTGAGTTATATAAGTTAGGAAGTCCTGGTCACGAGATCCGTAAGATAAACTGACTCAGATGAGTCTGTTACAAAATAGAGAACAACCAAAGCAGAAATACTAATAATTTTTTTCACAGATTAATTATTCTGTTTATTTGATGCATTTTACAGAAAGCGCACCCAAACTGTGCCCTCTGATGGACACTGCCGAGCTCATCGCAGTCCTCTTCCACTCGATATGCGATCCTGCTGGGATGATACTCAACCTATTTCTCCTTTACTTTGTACTCTTCCGGACTCCTTCTCAATTCAAACTGTACAGTATATTGATTGCAAACATGGCCGTAACAGATTTCTTGGCCTGCTTCATGTCGTTTTTCGTTCAGCAGAGGTGAAATCGATTGTACAATGTTTGTCGATGCTTCAATCAACCTTTTCAGAATAATCCCGATAGGAACGAGTTTGATATATATCTCATATGGGCCATGTGGCATGATGGGAGCGCAAGGTTGCTACATAGGGTAAGCTGAAAATTTCTCAACAATATCAAGATTGGAACGTTTTTTCCTCGAAGTATTATACTGATAAGTCTGACCATTTTACGTGGAAACCCTGTAAAAAACCGAAATAGTGACTTATCTATGAGCAACCGTCGTTGAAGCTTACGTGCAAACTGCTCAGACCTTTAGGGAATGGTTCCCGTCGCGTGCAAGCGAGAGAAAAAGAGAGTCAAATCCATCCACATCCATCTACTCCAAGAATCGACAAAGTCTTGGCTATATCCTGCAAGTTCGAAAGCGTTAGTGCAACATAAAGGAGATGTATCCGAGATACTTCAATTCGAACATTAGACACAATCCCGTCAATGCACATGCAAGTGGCCGTGGTTTCAAAGAAACACAGCCATATCTCCATTCACAAATGATATGAACTGTATAGTGTACATCGTTATACAGCCAAGCAGCCAATTAATTAACTAATTTTTCTGTGGTACTATTTACATTGTTCTTCGAATAGATCTTAAAACCTGGGCCTGGAGTTGCAGTAATCGAATTCTTATAATGTTAGCACAACTGAAGGACACTTTTGCATAGCGCATCTGAGTGGGCAACTGCGCAGAAATACTGCACATTGCACTTCACGCACTGCACGCCAGTTACCAGATTAAAAGTGGCACTTTTTAGGTACTGTGCGATGGCTTCATTCTTTACTCATTCGCTGTACTCTCTGTTGCTGTCGTTCCTGTACAGATATTATGTGTTAAAACAGCAGAATCCATCAGCTACGTCGCTCAAGCGTGTCATTTTCTTCATTTCTATGCCATCACAACTTCTGTTTGTGAGAATTCTAAGAAATGTGTTTTCAGAATTAACAAACGAATTGTTAGCTGTCATCCATATTCTTTTTCCAGATCCTCACTTGCTTCGCGAATCAGCCTGCGCCAGACATTATTGTGATTTTGACGCAGCGTTTGCCACATTACGATATTACCAACAAAGTAGTCTCCGGTCACGCCTGCATTTTCGAGTGGAAGACACTAGCATCAGTTTTAGTTATGACTACGCCAATGATACCAATTTTGATTGGTATTCTGATATTGAGAAAACGAATTGTCGCTATTCTTTCAACGCATACACTGTCGGAGAACACCAAGGTGCTACACAACGATTTACTCAAGGTGGGGGAACCCACTATAAAAAGTTTCATTTTATAGTAATCAGTCTTAGTCGTGCTTTTCATCAGAGTGACTGGAGATCTGTCAGTCATCCGTGTGCGATCCATTGTATTCTCGAAATCCCTGAGATCGGGTAAGGCGTGGCTGCGCGTCTTCAACTAAACTTGAAGGTGGCTGTGCTTCTGGTGGGATATTTTTATCTTGACGCAATGGTTGTTGTGTCTCTGTCGAACAGAGAACAAGATGGCAGTTGTTCCAGACTGGAATATTCCACGAGTAACCATTCCGTGCCATGTTCAAATGCCACGCCTACTCTTGCTCAGGGATGAGGAGTGTAGAGTTTGAGTATACATTCTCTTCAAATCTGCACAGGAGCGAAACTTGTTTTTTTCCACTCTATCGTGATTGAGCGATGATGAGGAAAGATGAACAGAGACCCCCTGCCGGCAGAGCAGAGCGTACACCATATTATTCTTTGAGTAGAGAGCACCTAGGTGAATAAGGTGGGTTGCCACCCAGGGAGGGATGCTTTTGATCGCACTGTCTAGAAAACTGGTGGACTCTAGTGTAGTAGTAAATACACTCTTAGTGTTTGTAAACTAGCACCTTCAGTTTCGGGTTTTTTGTCACAGCGAACGGTAGGGTTAGGTACAAAGCCATAATTTTTACAATATGAGTAGATCGAACTTGCACAATGCAGAACGCTCGGTTGTTTTAGATGAAGGAAGTATCCATGAGTAGCATGGGGATACATCGCTAAATTAAGCCTTTGGTTGGGCATTAAATAGAAGTCTCCTCTGTTTGCCGTTAACATAATATAACGTCCAATTACTCTATATTAGATGAAAGAGTTCATTTTGATTAGCATGGCGGTATTTCTGTAACGCAGATCTGAATTTATAACTCACACGCTTTAAAGTAAGGCACTACACAGAAGTCATCCTAGATTTAACATCACTATAAGCATGGTTTTGCAGGCGCTCACCTATCAGGCTGTACTTCCCTGCCTCTTCTCCGTCAGCCTGCTGTGCTACATTTGCACACAATTCGGCCTCTACCGTCATCCGATTCTGGAATCTTTTTTAGTCATGCCACTCGACTCCCTTGCTGTTCTCAGTCCACTGATGAGCTTATGCTTTATCAGACCGTATAGACGCCTCATATCAAAGCGCTTGTCATCTGCCTTCAAATGGACTTCATACGCTGTCGGCGCACCATCGCAGAGGACTTTTTAATCGGTGTCTTAGCAAAGGCAACCAAGATTCTATGCTAGCTCAATGACGCATAATCGGCAGCATGATTGAGTGGATTTTGTTTTGCATAATCAATAACCAATTATATCGACTTTTGCTGGTAATTCCACAGAATAAAGAAGCATTTTACAGCGTTCTCGAGAGTGTTGCTACATTGTATCAATGAGAAAAACTCTGTGCCGTGGTTAAAGTACCCATTCAAATATAAAAGTATTCATCGGGTTTTAAATCTCTAAATAAAAGATATTATTTTTTCTGATGTTTCCCTGGCGCACTATTATTCGATGTAGGATTTTCCCTTTCGGTGGTTGGTGATTCTCACAAGAGAAAGCTTCAAAGTAAAAGTGGTCATTGCCTATGAGAACTACCCCAACAAAGCATTTCTGGAGATGCTTATCCCAAATCTGTTTTGATAATCATCACCGTACCATACCATCACACGAAAGACCGATGGCTTTCACACAACGATGCTGTATCCTAACTACACGACCAGGAAAGCACTTTCGGGCAAGCTTCGTTGGCATCGTGCCAATCACCGCTATGGTAGATGAGGCTGCATTTATGTACTCATTATATCCATGCAGCAGTGCCACTTCATATCAAGCCCTTCGCTTCATACAGCAGTTCGCAAATAAAGCGATACGGGCATCTGCACCTACCGGACATTTGTGGGCGGGCGGGCGCGATGGGCGTCGGGTCGGTGTGTTGCAACTTGATAGGGCGCTACAAGGAGACTTTTCTTAGGGAGGACGTCAGGCAGCACCTGCTCAGGGGCGCCAAAGTTCTGTCTTGCTGGGCGTCCCACACGTCTTGGGGGTTTATCGCGTCAGTTGCCTCTGAGTATACTACCACTGGTGGGACTTCAAAATACCTGAAATCACCGAACGTCATAGAACTCCGTCCGTCGGTGCAATAAAGTTTTTAAAGTAAGTTGGATCTAGCAGTGAAGTTTCTTCAAACGGGCAACGTAAAAAGCAGTATCTAGAAAGCTGTTCTCGTAACGTCATTATGTCAGCAGTTCGGAAGGGCGCAGGAAGTGTGGTAGTAAATGGGGTCACTTATCACGAGCGCATACATGAAGTCGAATCCAGGATCGGCTCTCGCCACAGTCAAAGGAGCTGCACGTCTTTCCGGGGTTATTTGATTGGTACCAAACTCATGAAGAAGAATGGAAATATTTACTTTCACAGCTGCTCCCCCGTAGCTTCCCCCTTCCTCAACGCAGTGCATTGGATATCACATTCAAGAGCCTTTATGACTTAAAATCAGAAGGAGGTGGAATGCGGTCTTTAATACTACAGAGCCTTTTCCATCTTTATGTCCCATCTTACTGTTCTGAACTGAAATCTAAATCAAAATTCAGAATAAAGGATTTCTGAAAAACTGAAGCTCATGAAACCGACAAACGTAGAAGAAGTAGGTTCGTGACTGAATAGCCGAACGTTAGCATTTCTCATGTAATAAAGAAATTTCGCAGGAATAGAAATGCCGACCCTTGAAATAGTGTGATGAGCAGAGTGCTCAGAAGTAACAGTTACAAGTGCACGCCGTGTCGTACATTCAATATGAACTCCCTATTTGAATTCCAGGTCTAATTCCGGATTATAAGACTTATACAGGGTGACCAAAAAGTTCTGGCAATTTTTCGAAATACTTTGGTATCGTAAAAGTGCCATTTAATTAACTTAACCAGCGAACCTAAACTTTCGGAAATCTTCATTAGACCAGTAGCGATGACGGTGTACAGAGAAATCCAACACAGGTATTCAGAAATTGCCGTCTCTTTGCTTCCGCCAGATTAAAAGGTCGCAGGATGCGTCGTCTTGTCGGTGCTGGTCGCTTGAAAAAATGTGCTCTTCACCGACGAAAAATTCCCACGATCGAGCCTGTACACAACCACCAGAATTGTCTGTACTACTCAAGAAGGGTCAGCAGAAGACAACGGCAGCGAAACCCGTCGGCCATAGGCACTTTCCAGCCTCAGTCATGGTCTGGGCTGGGATCTGTGTCACCGGAAAACCTCCACTCGTCTTCATCGACCGTAACCTTAAAATCAATGCTGCTAACTATCAACAAACTGGGCTCCACTACAGTCTGCCCAATTCCACTGCGAAGAGCTGCTTCAGGGATTTTGGGGCGAGGACATTTATCCTTCCAACTCGCCTGATCTGAACCCGATGGATTACTTCATTTAGTCTATCTTGGAGCAGAAAATCTCACGAATCCAATGCGTGACGTCGGATCATCCAGAAGCAGCATTACTGCGTGCTTGTGACGAAATTACAGTAGAAGAATGCGCGACCATTTGCTATCTCGCACACTTCGAAGCGACTTGGATAAAGTAGTTGAGGCAAGGATGCGATTTTGAATACATGTTGTGATAGCGGTCTGTGTACACCGTTATTGCTACTGATTCAGTGAAGATTTCCGAAAGTTTAGTTCCGCTGATTAAGTTAATTAAATGGTTTTTCTATAATTCCAAAGTATTTCGAAAAATTGCCAGAACTTTTTGGTCACCCTGTATTTTAGTACGATAGCTGCATAGCAAAAAGTTGCCATGTAGGAGTTGTGAGCTTTAAAGTAGCCAATCTTTGATCTAATGGTTGAACAACCGTCCGTTTCCACGGTCTAATGTGTTGCATAGTGGAGCGAATAGAAATCTTCAGGAAGCTTGCATAAGTCGTCATTTCGTCAGGTTCAGAGAGAGAAGTGCCGCAATGGCCACGTTTTACATCTTGCGCCAGAGGTCCGTCAAGGAGAATGATTAGGAGAATGTTAAGGCAACCGTGAATCGCCGCTCAGTCGAACGCGTGGATGCACGCAGCATTCTCTCTTCTATTGTCCTGTTGATTGAATTCCACATCAATCACGATATCGCAGATATTTACGTCCGTTTTTGGTTATACATTGTCTGTTGTCGTATACACATACAATATGTCACATTTCTTCTTCTTCTCCCTAGCGTTAGTCCCGCGCCGTCGCAGGGTCCGCTGTTCTTGTTAGACGTCGCCATTTGTTCCGATCCACTGCATCTTCTGCCGTGGCTTTCACTTCAGTGAGGTCCTTCTTGATGACGTCCCTCCATCTTTTCTTTGGGGCTCCTCGTGGTCGCTTGCCCTCTGCTTCGAATTCCAATGCCTTCCTTATTGGTGTCCTCAGGCGCACTGCGTCCGCCCACCGTGCCCATACCTCGCAGTCGCGCATCTCGTGCCTTCAGCTGGATCGGGCGCCGTCTTGTTGCCGCTGGACGTCCTTCGGTTCCTGACTCTGTCGAGTCGTGTCCAGCCGCAGGCCCATCTCAGCATCCTCATTTCAGGAGCTGCCTTTCATGGTTCTTGCAGATGGGCCAGCACTCACTGCCGTAGAGCATTGTAGGCCTTACCACCGCCCGGTACACCTTGCCCTTGAGCGTTCTCGAGCACCGCCGGTCGCACAGGATGCCAGTGGACTCCCTCCATTTCATCCAGGCTGCGTTGATTCGGGTCTTCACCGCCTGGTCCACGCTGCCATCAGCTGCTAGGTCGCTCCCCAGGTACTGGAAGTCCTCGACCCTTTCGATGCTCTCGCCATGGCAGTCTACGATAGGGTTCCTACACTCTTCGAGCTCATGAACGTCTTCTTCACGTTCAACCGGAGTCCATTCTCAGCGAGCACATCCTGCCACCGCTGCACCTTGTCCTGGAGTTCCTCCCTGCTGTCCGCTATCAGGGCGATGTCGTCAGCGTAGAGGATGGTTTTCAGTGGTCCCTCCATGAGTTCTTTTGCCATGACATCTAGAGTCAGGAGGAAGAGGAACGGGCTGAGGGCTGATCCTTGGTGTACCCCAACCGTGATGTTTACCTCTTTCGTCAAGCCGTGCGGGGTGCGTACAGCTGCTTTAGCCCCATCGTACATATCCTTCACTATGGAGACTAGGTGCTCCGGAACGTTACGTTCTCTCAGCGCTCTCCAGAGTACAGGCCGAGGCAGGCGGTCGAATGCCTTCTCAAGGTCCAGGAAGGCTAGGTAGCAGGTCGCCGCTTCTCTCGGTACTTCTCCATCAGCTGTCTGGCGATGAAGATGGCGTCAGTGGTGGACCTTTCGGGCATGAAGCCGAACTGTTCCTGCGAGATAGGGACAAGCTCCCTCAGCCTAGTGTTGACCAGGCGCTCGTACAGCTTCATGGTATGGGAGTCAACTTGATGCCGCGGTAGTTGGAGCACTCCGTCGCGTCCCCTTTCTGTTTGAAGATGGGGACGATTGTGCTGCTCCTCCACGCATCTGGCATCCTTCCTTCAGCCGTTACGTTGTTTAGGAAGTTTGTTAGCCAACTCACCCCAAGGGCGCAGTTTGTCGACGGGGGGGCATTCTGCTTTCCATAGATGTGCCGACCCATCTAGGTAGCCTTTTCTCGAGTTGACACGTTTTAGGATGGTGGCTAGACGATCTTGCACCAGCTTCACAAGGGTTCACAAGTTTTACCAGGGTGAGATTTGTAAACCGGAACTAGGGAAGCAATGGTAGTACAAAATGCCCCCCCCCCCGTCGACAAACAGCGCCAGCGCCTAGTAACTGTGTCTTTCCACCCATGAGGGGGACATTCAAAGCGAACTCAGAACGGGGGAAATCAGCGATCAGATTTTATTCGGGAATTCTTTCGGCCTGCAACATCTTCTATTTGAGAGAAACTGTGCGCTCACTTCCGATGAAGGTTCCATGTGCGAGGTGAATGGGTCCGCAGCCGCGCGTCAATATCTACTGTCGAAGGTGAGTGAGACCGGGGCTGGGTTGTGGTGCTACCCAGGCGAGATAGCTACTGTCTGCGCACTTCACCCGCGCCCTGCACGGCCCGCCACATGCCTATCCATAGCCAATTGCTTCACTTCTCAGCGCCCTATCACTTCTGAATGTTTTCTATCGCCGAGAACGTATTGCTCTGCGAGATCTTAGCAGCGACGCAGGTGCTACCTTGCTGATGGCGTGGGATTAGTACAGACATCTTT